CTCTGCTTCTAGATCATTGGTAGGCTAGAAAAATAAAGTTTGTTCTACCAGGAATCACAAGTTGGAACTGAGTATTCTCCAAAGTGGAAATTCTAGAGTGTAGTATCACTCCAGGCAAAGATTATTCCGTTCTCATCCCCAACACCCAAAACTACTTATCAGAAGGTTAAACCAGGTCAAAACAGTCCAGCACAATTAGGCTTCATCAAACAGTATCATTCTGCTCTTCTGAGATGCAAATAAATCAAAACAGGAAATACTAAAATCAAAATAGTATCTGACACTGTCATACAAATTGTTATTTCCTTGTCGTATCCCCCTTTCTATAACATTAATAAAGGGAATATTTTACTGCAAAGAATATTTTATTTTATACATCACTAACCATGAATTTTTGCCATTACTTATTATACAAAGGCTGCCCTGTGCCATTATCCAAATGGAATAAGCATTTTACATCCACAATTCACTTCTATAGTTAAAAGCAGAATTTTCATGAGTAAGTACATCTGTCAGTGAAGATTTAACACTGAGATGCAATCAGTAATATCTGATGTTTTATAGATGGCAATGTAGAAAATATTTTTATGTAGAAATACTTCAATCACTTTTCATTTAAGTGACCTTGTGTAAAAAATAAACTAATAATTTAGCAGTCCCAAGTGTCCAAAGGGCATTTTCAAATGCACATAAAAGAAATGGTTACAGATATTTTTAAGAAGCGTCTTCCATATCCACATCCTCTTGCAACTGCTGTACCATTTTCTCTTCCAAATGCTTCCCTTTGCCTGCAAGAGGGGCTCGAATAAGATGGATGTTTTGCTTGACTTCTTTGATATCCTGAACTTTCTGTAGCTCTTTATTTTTCTTCAGTCTGTTCATTATAAATTTAGCTTGGCGTTTCTGTTTGATCTCTTCAACTCTCTTCATTGCATCAATAGTTTTATTCCATAGCTCTCGCTGGTATTTGATAGGTTCATTTCTACGCTTTTCAAATTCAAATGAATTATCCACTGTAAGCTCTTTACCAGCTGCTTTCCGGAATGCTTTGGTCCACCTAACTTTGCGAGGATTGCGCTTCTTTTTAAAGTTTTTATGACATTTAGATTTACAAAATCGGAACACCTTGCAATCGTTGCGTACGAACATCATGCCGTGGCCAGGGTAGATGGGCCCGGAACAGAAATAACACTTCTCGATACGCATGTTGAACCCGCGTGGGTCCCCACTGACGGAACGCCAAGCCTCGGAGGAAGTCTCTTAGAAAATTAAATATGCTTAATTGCATTTTTTTTCTTAAAGTGTAGAATTTTATTTGAAAATGAAAGCGGAGATGAAAGTACATACATAAGGGCTACATAATGAATATCCTTAAGCCCTATCATTTTTAGTCAAGGAGGTTAACTGAATTTAGTGAGTAAGAAAAGACTCAAGAGTCTCTAGAAATTTGGAAACATTCTACCCAAAACAGAAAATAGAGGTCCTCCATAATAAGGCTAGTAGCAGGAAAGGGGAGCAGCCTAGAATGAAGGGAGGTCTTTCTCACTGTCACCACATATGTTTTTTAAAAAAATTGATCCAGGCTGGGCGCGGTGGCTCAAGCCTGTAATCCCAGCACTTTGGGAGGCCGAGGCAGGTGGATCACGAGGTCGAGAGATCGAGACCATCCTGGTCAACATGGTGAAACCCCGTCTCTACTAAAAATACAAAACATTAGCTGGGCATGGTGGCACGTGCCTGTAATCTCAGCTACTCAAGAGGCTGAGGCAGGAGAATTGCTTGAACCCAGGAGGCGGAGGTTGCGGTGAGCCGAGATCGTGCCATTGCACTCCAGCCTGGGTAACAAGAGCGAAACTCCATCTCAAAAAAAAAAAAAAAAAATTGATCCAAACAAGGGTATAGTATTTGGAGAAAAAGTTGGAGAAGAGATATTCTGGTGGGTAGACAGGAAAGGCTTCCCAGATTGAAAGAGGACAACTAAGGTCCAGTGCAGTGACTCAACACCTGTAAATCCCAGCACTTTGGGAGGCTGAGGTGGGAGGATCTCTTGAGGCCAGGAGTTCAAGACAAGCCTGGGAAACCTAATGAGACCTCATTTCTACAAAAAAAAAAAAAAAAAAAAAAAAAAAATTTAAGAAATTGACAGGTATATGTTGGTACATATCTGTAGTCCTAGCTACTCTTGAGGCTGAGGCGGGAAGATTGCTTAGTCTAGGAGTTTGAGGTTGCAGTGAGTTATGATTGCATCAGCCTGGACAAGAGAGAGACACCGTCCCCCACACCATCCTTCCCAGTCCTCTGCAAAAAAAAAAAAAAAAAAAAAAAAAAAAACCACGAGAAAAAAGAGAAAGGGCAACTAATAGGCCTATGGAACTCATGAGATAGAACAAGTAGAGTTTAATTTCTAGCTTGAAATTTTCTGAGGGGAAAACTTTTTAAAGGATTAAAAGCTATCAAAGACAAAGGTATAGAGAGAATGCCACGAAACTGGTCAGTGGTTAGTAAAGGCAGAAAATAAATATTAAGAAGTTAGGGACAGTTGCTTTGAAGGCTTTATACCTCTGGAAAGAAACTTGACTCATTATAAGACAAAATAATAACACAAAAACTACCATCTTTTAAAATAGTAATTTTTCCCAGGAAGTAAAAACTCTTAGAGAAATGGAGAAAGAAAAAAGTACAAGTCTAATCAAAGAACTTTCTTCTTAGACATTTTCTCTTTAGGCTTAAGGGTATACCAGAATCTTATAGGTATATTCCAAGAAGTGTGAGGATCTAGGTCCCCCAGAGTTTCTCTGGTGAACAACCACCAACTGTTGCTCATCTCCTGAATTGAGAAAACTCTTAACAGGGGAGGAAATGAAGGTCCTTGGTCTCTAAGAATAGAGAGGCCACTTCTCACACTCCTGTGTTTGAAAGGGAAGAGTAAGTCCAACAAACAGCAGCTACTGTAGCTGCTAATCAGAGAGTAGTATTCAACATGGAAGGACATAGCTGATGCCATATTTTTAAGGACTTATGCACAGGGATTAAAAACAGTGAATAGAGTTGAAAGAAACAGCCCCAATTATAAATATTTATATTCATCCTTTGGGTAAAAATTTCCCCTTTGCCTTTTTTTTTTTTTTTGAGATGGAGTTTTGCTCTTGTTACCCAGGCTGGAGTGCAATGGCGTGATCTTGGCTCACTGCAACCTCCACCTCCTGGTTTCAGGCAATTCTCCTGCCTCAGCCTCCTGAGTCGCTGGGATTACAGGCACGCGCCACCATGCCCAGCTAATTTTTTGCACTTTTAGTAGAGACAGGGGTTTCACCATGTTGACCAGGATGGTCTCGATCTCTCGACCTCGTGATCCACCCGCCTCGGCCTCCCAAAGTGCTGGGATTACAGGCACGTGCCACCATGCCCAGCTGATTTTTTTTTTTTTTTTTTTTGGTATTTTTAGTAGAGACGGGGTTTCACTTTGTTGACCAGGATGGTCTCGATCTTTGACCTCGTGATCCACCTGCCTCAGCCTCCCAAAGTGCTGGGATTACAGGCGTGAGCCACCATGCCCGGCCGCCCCTTTGCCACTTTTAAGTCTATAGGGATTTCAGGAGAAATTGGAGTCAAACTATAGGTCTAGAGGCCAACAATTTATTACAACAAAGAGCATGTTGAAGCATGATATTGAAGTTATATTGGATACTCTCCTAAAGTCCTTTGATTCTGTATTTTAATTCTATTGAAGCACAGTTTCTGGGAAATATAAAAAGAATTTTTGTGTGTAACCCCCAATTCAATATTTTATAGTTAAGTGTAGTATAAATCCAGGAAACACACTCCTACATATGGGGATTATCATGTATAAATTTGTTTGAAAATAACTGTACTGTTCTTGTGAAATTTATAAAGCAATCTGTTATAAACTAAATCATACCTCTTTCCAAGCCATCCTTCTGAAATCAGCTGACAAAGTTAAAGTCTAATTTCCTAAGATTCTTTATCTTTTGACATGTTACCATCTTTCTATCTCTGATTGTATTAGAGATTTTGGGAAAACAGGTTGCAAAGTTATTACCTTGTTATAAACTAAATCATACCTCTTTCCAAGCCATCCTTCTGAAATCAGCTGACAAAGTTAAAGTCTAATTTCCTAAGATTCTTTATCTTTTGACATGTTACCATCTTTCTATCTCTGATTGTATTAGAGATTTTGGGAAAACAGGTTGCAAAGTTATTACCTTGTGATTTTGGTACATGTACTAATATCCATTTTATTCCAACACCAATTTCAGATAATTTCTTCAGATTGTCCTTCAAAATGGGTCCTAAGTAAAACCTTACTTTTCAAAATTATCTATTAGAGATATACCACAAAATGGAAAGAAATAAAATGCGTTTTACTTAGTATAGGTATGGAGAATTTTTGTTCTCTCAATATATCTGTTTTTAGAAGTAACATGTTTGGGGCTGGGTACAGTGGCTGACACCTATAATCTCAGCACTTTGGATGGCCAAAGTAGAAGGATCACTTGAGCCCAGGAGTTTGAGACCAGCTTGGGGAACCCAGTAAGACCCCGTCTCTACAAAAAATAAAAGATTAACTGAGTGTAGTGGTACATGCCTGTAATCCTAGCTACTGGGGAGGCTAAGGTAAGAGGATGGCTTGAGGCCAGGAGTTTGAGGTCACAGTGAGCTGTGATCGAATAACTGCATTCCAACCTGGGCCACAGAACAAGAATGTCTCTTAAAAAAAAAAAAGAGTAACATATTTGGGTAACATATTAAGCTAGACCATAAAGAAGGCTGAATGATATCCTCCATTTATTCAGATTGTTAAGAAACTCCAAAATTTTTATTAGCTTCTAAAAATAAAGTTAAATTCTAAGAAAGTATGTATGTATAAATTATATATATGTGTGTATATATGTATATAAACATGTATATATGTGTATACATAGTATCTATATAGCTCTGTGGAATAAACACACTTGGGTATCAATTATTATCAAAATTCCTTATCCAATAATACATCATTAATTTTTATTAGCGGTCCAGGATTTGTTTAGCATCTTGTTTAACATTTGAAAATAAAAACATAAATTTTTGGTTCTCAAGGATAGTGCTATTAAAAGAAAATCTCAAACATCAGTGGTTAGTAATTTTTTCCTTACAGAACAAAAACTTTTGAAATTTCATTGTGGGACTTAATCTATTTACATTCCTAAAACTGAGAATAATTAATGTACTTGAGATCCTTGTATGCTGGTATACATTCATAAGGTTCTGCTGTTCTCATAAAACAATTTGACTAGCAAACATATTCATTACAGTTTCAAAAGAAAACACCCTATTTGACTCACCAGAAAAAGCTTTGTGATCTATATCCTATTATTTCTGCTGCTGCTGCTGAGCATGGAATACATTTGGGGTTGAAACAGGAGATAAAAGAGATACATTTATTAGGGGAATACCAACTTTTATGGCTCCCCCTGCCCCCACCACCTAAAATTAGCAAGTCAGTGAAAGAACTGCAAAAGAATATAAAGAGGAATATTTCCTGTACTACTGTAGAAATTTTAGAGATTAAAAACCACTACATAGGATTTGTTCTGTACCTTTTGAAGAATGAATGACTTCCCCTCTCATCTATTTTCCAATTTTATAGTAAAAACTGGCTTTATAATCATAATCTAAAATTTTCTTTTGGTGTAAAAAATAGTTTTGCATTTTATGGAAACAACTGTCCTCTTTAAAATTAATCAAATATATAATAGAATATATTGGTTGCATATAAGAAGAAAAGGTTTAAGGATTAAAGTGTTCAAAGAACATTAATTTGGTGGAATTTCAATCAATGTTATGCGATCATGTCAGAGGTGAACCCTTCTTTTATCAAAATTCCCAAGGTGGAACTATATTTTATAAAATTTGATACCAAATTATGTTATAGGAGGATTTCAATATTGTCTTAAACATTGGAGAAAAAATTTAATTTAGTCAAATTACATGAAAAGGCAAGAATATTGATCATGTTGATGGTATTTCTAATATTTGGAAAATGTTATAAAAAAGAAATATAAATACCATTCAGATTCTGAAAACCATGGCAGATGCAAAATTAAGGAGTAACAGTTACAGATGAATGAAAAATTAGACAAAAGCATATTAAGTGACAAAATGGCAAAGCAAAAATAGAATTAAATCATTAAGATTAAAATAGTATACTGTTGTAAAATATATGAAAGTATTAAAAGTATTATAATTAAAAGTGATTCTTATCCTAAATATGAAAATAAATATCAAATAATGTGAAACGTAACGTCTAATAGTTTGGTAAGGAAAAATAACCCAAAGCAGAGAAAATAAAAGACACCTCACTATTCCCAATGTGGTTATTATTTATGGAATGGATAAAACATGTTGTAGAAAAGGTCATTACAGTTAGATTAGCACATAAAAAATCAACATGCCACATCTACCTAAATAATTTTGTAGAACAGCTGAAAAAGCAAATTTTATCAAATTTAGACAGCTTATATTGGAATAACTGAGTATGGTGAGGTATTAACTAACCCTAAGTTTCACAACGGGCAGCTTCTAGCTGTTCTGTTGAAGCTGGATCTCGGCCACACACGGATCACTGGACAAGAAATCAGTTGAGCTGGACTAGAGCTGCCCAATTGTCTTAATAATGAATGCTCCACACTGTCTGTTAAGTAAAGAGAAAATATAGATCAGGAATACTGAATGGAAAAAAAAAATAAGTTAGAACAGATGAATGCAGACCATCAATCAACATTCACTAAATATCTGCAGAACTTTGGTACCAATTAAATCAAAATGTTAAAAAGTGAGAGGCTAGCAATTAGGAGGGCCCCCGAACTCAGGAAAAGCTTGTTTCTGCTGAGAGCTTAGAATTGATATTAAACAATCTCTAGTCTAGTGTTACAGTATAAATGTTTGGTAAATAAAACGAGGGATGGGTCAGCACAGATTACGAGTTACATTTCCTTCTCTTAGGTGAGTCTTAAAAACTTGTTTTTAAAAGAGGAATTGTGTTTTTGGCAAGAGGCTCTTTAAAAAGTTGTCCAAAACCCAAAAGTATCCTTTAAGTGGGCATAAGTAAGACAGGCATATAGGTACTTATGCTGTATAATTCAGAAGAATTTCACATACCTGTGTCATCCTGGCATTTTTATTGTTGTTGTTAATACTAGTTTGGGTCAAAGAATCAACCTAGTTACTACTACCTTTTTGGCAATTTGGGCCTAAGCCAGCTCCTAATTTAGGGAATCAAGCTGTCCTAAGACATATTTTAAATTTTGGATAGGCTCAAAATTTTCCATATTTGTTCTACTATCTCTAGAGCAGTGCTGTCTAATAGAACAGTCTATATTGATGGGAATGTTTTACGTCTACACTATCAAGTACGGTGGCCACTAGTCACATGTGGCTATTTAGCACTTGAAATGTGGTTAGTTGCAACTCAGGAACTGAATTTTTAATTTAATTTAAATTAATTTAAAATAAAAATTAAATAGCCTCATGTAGCTAGTCGGTACCATATGTGAGACAGCATGGCTCTAATGGCTCAACTTTGTGGGGTTTGCTAAAACCAAACTCTACAGACTGGCCTAAATTTCCCTGGCCTGTTTAATACTGTCCAGTACCATTTACTAATGTTCATAGCTGTATTCCCAGTATCTAGAATAATGACATGCACAAGGTAGGTGCTCAATAAGTATTTGCTGAATGAATAAAATCTATTATGATAATACACAGCTATTCATACCCTGTTAACTACTTATAGGTTATTGGCTGTAACCCAATGAACACTGGCCCTCCCAGGTGAAACAGAGATATATGAAGTTAAACTGTTTTATGTATGTGAAATTACTTGGTTAAAGGCTCAATGTGGTAGAGAGAACAGGGACCAGTACTAACTTCAGTATATTCATATATGAATAATTTAGGTTTGATAAATATGATAAAACTGGAGAGAATATGTATCACTCTGTTGCCCAGGCTGGAGTATAGTGGTGTGATCTCAGCTCACTGCAACCTCCACCTCCCAGGTTCAAGCAATTCTCGTGTCTCAGCCTCATAAGTAGCTGGGACTACAGGTGCTCGTCACTACGCCTGGATAATTTTTGAATTTTTAGTAGAGATGGGGTTTCATGTGCCGCTTAGGCTGGTCTTGAACTCCTGACTTCAGGCAATCCACCCACCTTGGCCTCCCAAAGTGCTGGGATTATAGGCATGAGCCACCGTGCCTGGCCAGAGAATATAATATTTAATGGGAAGGGTGTGGCTAACAGTTGATGAGAGTGATAAGAGGGGAAAACTTAATGTCAGATAAAAAGCTAAATTCAGATTTTATGTATGACTAAAAGATGGAAAGTGAAGATGTAGAAGTTTTGAAGAAATGTACAGTAATCCTAGGCTGGGCATGGTGGTTTATGTCTGTAATCCCAGCACTTTGGGAGGCCGAGGCGGGTGGATCACCTGATGGATCCAGGCAAGGTGGGTGGATCATGAGGTCAGGAGTTCGAGATCAGCCCAGCCAATATGGTGATAGCCCATCCCTACTAAAAATACAAAAATTAGCTGAGTGTGATGGCACACGCCTGTAGTCCCAGCTACTTAGGAAGCTGAGGCAGGAGAATCGCTTGAACCGGGGAGGCAGAGGTTGCAGTGAACTGAGATTGTGCCACTGCACTCCAGTTTGGGTGACAGAGCAAGAGTCTGTCTCAAAAAAAAAAAAAAAAAAAAAAAATACATATATATATATATATATAGTAATCCTATTAGGCAGTAATGTAGCTTTGAAAAAGGATTTGGCAGTGGAGAGATAAATTAATAAAGCTGACCCTTGAACAACATGAGTTTGAACTGCATGGATGTACTTATTAAATATATGTGAAGTTTTTTTTTTTTTTTTTTTTTTTCTTCCTGAGACAGGATCTCACTCTTTCACCGAGGCTGGAGTGCAATGGTGAGATCTTGGCTCATTGCAACCTCTGCCTCCTGGGCTCAAGTGATTCTTGTGCCTTGGCCACCTGAGTAGCTGGGATTACAGGCATGCACCACCATTCCTGGCTAATTTTTGTATTTTTAGTAGAGACAGAGTTTACCCATGTTGGCCAGGATGGTGTCAAACTCCTGGCTTCGAGTGATTCACCCATCTTAGCCTCCCAAAGTGCTGAGATTACAGGCATGAGTCACTGCACCTGGCCACTTATATGTAAAGTTTTTTTCAATAAATATATCAGAAAATTATTTGGAGATTTGCAACAATTTGAAAAACCTCACAGATGAGCTGTACTGCCTAAGAAATGGTGAAAAAATTAATAAGGCATTTTAAAAGTTAGGTATGTCATGAGTGCATAAAATATATATAGGGTCGTTCTATCATTTACTACCATAAAATATACACAAATTTTTAATAAAAAGTTAAAATTTATCAAAACTTCTGCATGTAAACACAGTCCATACATGGTGCTATTTGCAGTTGAGAGAAAAGTAAACAAATGTAAAGATGCAGTATTATATCAAAACTTCATAAAATTTACAGTAGGTTCATACTGTATTACTATAAAATTTTCATAGCAACTTCCTATTACTATTGCAGTATGCTCAAATGATGAGCTCAAGTATTGTGTCTGCTTAAAATACCATGTGATGATAATCATCTCTCTGTGAGCAGTTCACCTCTCCAGAAAATTGCATATTAAAGTAAAATTTAATCTTTCTTAGTTTTTGCATATTTCTCGTGTTTAGTGCAATACTGTAAACCTTGAATAACACCATAAGACCCTTAAGAAATGTCACTAATGATGCAGGAAGTGCTCCCAAGAAGCAAAGTCATGACATTATAAGAAAAAGTTGAACTGCTTGGTATATACTGCAGATTGAGGTCTGCAGCTGAGGCTGCCCACCACTTCAAGACAAATGAATCTAGCATAAGGACCATTGTAAAAGGAAATTCATGAAGGCACTGCTGCAGCTATGCCAGCAGGCACAAACACCTTGCACTTTTTGTAAAATAATATCTTTTTATCTTGTGTTAGAAAATGCAGCTTTTATGTGGATGTGGGATTGCTATAAGAAAGGCAAACCTATAGACTCTAATATGATTTGAGAAAAAGCAAAGTCATTATATAAAAACTTAAAGCAAAAGGAAGGTGAAGGATCTAAAGCTGGATAATTTAATGCCGCTAAAGGGTGGTTTGATAATTTTAGAAAGAGGTTTGGCTTAAAAAATGTCAAGATAACAGAAGAAACAGCTTCTAAAAGGCAGCAGATGAGTTCCAGAAGGCAGCAGATGAGTTCCAAGTTGCCATTACGAAAATCATTGAGGAGAAAGGATATCTGCCTAAACAGGTTTTTAATGCAGACAGAAGTGCCTTATTCAAGAAAAGAAAATGCCAAAAAGAACATTTATTAATAAGGAAGAGAAGCAAGCATCAGAATTTAAGGCAGGAAGGGTGAGGCTAACTCTAGTGTTTCGTGCAAATGCAGTCAGGTTTATGATCAGTGCTGCCCTTATCTATAAAGCTACTAATACCTGAATCTTGAAGGGAAAACATAAACACCAGATGCCAGACTTTTGGCTGTGCAACAAGAAGGCCTGGACAGTAAGAACCCTTTTTCTAAATTGGTTCTACTGATGCTTTGTCCCTGAAGTGAAAAAGTAGCATGCCAGTAAAAGACTGCCTTTTGAAACTCTTTTGATATTATACAATGCACTGGCCACCCAGAACCCTACGAATTCAACACTGAAGGTATCAAAGTGGTCGATTTGTCCCTAAACACAATGCCTCTAATTCACCATGTTGGCCAGGCTGGTCTTGAACTCCTGACTTTGTGATCCACCTGCCTTGGCCTCCCAAAGTGCTGGGATTACAGGCATGAACCAACGCACCTGGTGCCATTGACAATTCTAAAGTAACAGTTAAAGTTACAAGAAAACTATGGGCTTAGGTCATGAAAGTAATCTTGAGGGTAAGGTCTTATTAATTGTATTTACATCACTGCAGATACTATTTTTCAAATGTCATGCTTAATGGATATTTGATGAACTAGTGAGGATGAGCTCTTACTTAAGGCTTGTTATGTGGTAGAGTCCATATGTTATTTTTATGCGAAGGACAACTTATTTATGTGACTTATAGAGTTAACTAATGATCCATAATACATGAAGATTCTGCCAGATTTGACAGTATGTAGCAATATTTAAAGAAATGGCAATAATAACTTAAATCTGTAAGTCAATTTTTATTTCAGGCATAGTTTTTGTTTGTTTGTTTTTGAGACAGTTTTGCTCTGTCACTCAGGATGCAGTGCAGTGGCATGATCTTGGCTCATTGAAACCTCTGCTTCTTGGGTTCGAGTGGTTCTCACACCTCAGGCTCCGGAGTTGCTGGGATTACAGGCATGCATCACCATGCCCAGCTATTTTTTTTTGTATTTTTAGTAGAGGCAGGGTTTCACTGCAATAGTCAGGCTGGTCTCGAACTCCTGGCCTCAAGTGATCTGCCCACCTTGATCTTCCAAACTGCTGGGATTAAGGCATGAGCCACTGCGCCCAGCCTATTCTGGCTATAGTTGTAATATCATCCTCCAATTAAATATGTATATTTTTGCCAGATTAGAAGGATAAACAAATGGATCTGATTTTTATTCCCTTTCCTTATTTTTAAGAAAATT